AGACACATAGTTCAGAGAAATCAGCAAAAACCTTCCACAAAATTATGCATCAGGAGCTTGGAAAAGAGATGCCCTAATTCACTAACTTGATATGCAAATTAAATGAGTCTTTTTAACGCCAGACAAAATCTTACCATGCATTCTTCTTTTAATTGTTCTCTTTATCTACAATTTTCTGCACACCAAAAGCTAGCATGTCAGGTAGAATAGTATTAAGACCACTTGATTAATTTTTAATGTTCAATATATTTTGATGTATGGCAGTAAAACTCCAGGATTGCAGGTATGGGGCATACCTGAATCCTGGGAGGGTTTCTCAATGTTGCTAATTCTCCATACATAAAACAAGACTCCCATGATTTTCCTGACAGTGAGAACAATTAACCAGTGGAATGGCTTGCCTTCAGAAGTTGTGGGTACTCCATTACTTGAAGCTTTAAAAAAGAGACTGGATAGCCAATTTGTCTGAAATCCTGTCCTGCGCGAGCTGCATTGGCTCCTGGTGGTCTTCCGGGTGTGCTTCAAGGTTTTGGTTACCACCTTTAAAGCGCTCCATGGCTCAGGACCTGGGTACTTGCAGGACCGCCTACTACCACCAATAGCCTCCCACCGGCCGGTACGCTCTCATAGAGAGGGGCTCCTCTGGGTGCCGTCGGCCAAACAGTGTCGACTGGCGGCCCTCAGTGGGAGAGCCTTCTCTGTGGGGGCACCTACTATCTGGAACGAGCTCCCCCTGGAGATACGGAGGATCCCGGATCTGCGCACCTTCCGCCGTGCTCTAAAGACCTTTTTATTTCATCAGGCGGGCCTGGCCTAATTTTCTCCCTCTTTTAAACAATTTTAATATTTTAACGTTTTTAATATCTTTAATACTTAAAGTCTAAATTGGTTTTAAATTGATTGGGGTTTTAATCTGTCTGGGCCAAACTATTTAATTCGATTTTATTTCTGCTTTTTAAATTTTGTATGTATGTATTTTATTGTTGGCTGTTCACCGCCCTGAGTCCTTCGGGAGTAGGGCGGTATACAAATCAAATAAAAGTAAAGTAAAGTAAAGAAATAGTATAGGGATTTCTGCTTGAGCAGGCAGTTGGGCTAGAACAGGGGTGTTAAACTCAATTTCATTGAGGTCCGCATCAGGGTTGTGTTTGACCTTGGGGGACCAGGTGGGCATCGCCAGGCTGGGCATGGCCAGCTCAATGTCACTCGTGTCAGGGGCCCTTGTGGTGGCCTGAGTGCTTGCAGCCCTCCCGAGCTCTGTTTTCACTGGCAGAGGGTTGCAGGAGGTCATCACAGCCTAAAACGGAGCTCAAGAGGGCTGTGTGTGGCCCTCCCAAGCTCCGTTTTCACTGGCAGAGGCACTGGGGGCCGGTCCTTCACTGTTTCCAAGGCAGCCCTGTGGGCCAGATCTAAGCACCCCGCGGGCCGGATCTAGGCCCCGGGCCTTGAGTTTATTTATTTATTTTATTAATTTATTATTTGAACTTGTATGCCGCCCTATCTCCAAGGGGACTCAGGGCAGCTCACAACAATAAAAACAAGCCAAATCAATGTTAAAAATACCCAATAAGATTATAAAAAGACCATTAAAATCCCTTTTAAAACCCACTTCAGTCCAAACCAGCCAGGCAAAATAACCATGTTTTAAGGTCACAGCAGAAAGAACAAAGGTTAGGGGCCACCCGGAGCTCCAGGGGGAGCTGATTCCACAGGGTAGGTGCGCCCACAGAGAAGGCCCACTCCCTAGGGGTTGCCAGCCGACATTGTCTGGCCGACAGCACCCCAAGGAGGCCCTCCCTGTGGGAATGCACCGGGCGATGGGGAGCTGTCGCTGGCAGCAGATAGTCCGCCAGATACCCCGGGCCTAAGCCATGTAGGGCTTTATAGGTAATTACCAACACCTTGAATCTCACCCGGAGGGCAACCGGTAGCCAATGCAGGTCCCGCAGGAGAGGTGTAACATGAGAGTGTCGGGACACTCCCATTACTACCACGCGCGGCCGCATTCTGCACCAGCTGAAGCCTCCGAGTGATCTTCACAGGCAGCCCCATGTAGAGAGCATTGCAGTAGTCGGTCCGGGAGGTGGGCTAGAACATCTCCAAGGTCCCTTCAAACTCTATTATTCTGTTCTGATAAGCTCCATATAGATTCATTCCATTTCTAGGTGGAAATGTGTATTGTTAGGAAAAAACATAAGGTCACCCCATAGAAAGGCCTTCCATATATACAAACCCACTAAATTCAACGAAGACTACATATGAGCAGCTTTGGGGAGTTTATATATTCATTGCGTTAAGGGCAAAGCAAAATAATTGGCTCAGAGGTTTCCTCCTTGGCACCTTGCACTGTGTAGTCTTGAGAAACATACTTCTGCTTCACTCAACCAGTTTTTTTTACAATAATCATCCCAATTTCCCAGAAGCTTCCTAATTTAAAAGATTTCATGTAACTTCAGAGCATCCTAGATTGGGATTATTTTGCATGGCACATAACCTCACCCCCTGCCCCAAACAAACCAATTTAAGTGTCCATCACTCCCATCATGTTTCAAGATTAGAACGATGGGCCCTAGCCAGCAAAATGAATTTCAATGTGGAGAAAAGCAAAGCTTTACATTTAGGCAGGAAAAATCAAAAGTATAAATGCAGATTAGGTGAGACCTGGCTCAAAAACAGTAACTGAGAGTAACTTGGAGTCCTAGTGGATGATTGCTTGAATATGAGCCAGCAATGTGCAGCCGTCGCATTTTTTCTAATGCTTTGAAAAGCCTCTGCCGATCAGGCAACTCAGCTGGGATCGTCAGAGACTTTTCAAAGCATTTATTTTACCACCTCTTCGGCCAAAAGGTTGCAGAAAATAATGCTTTGAAAAGCCTCTGACGATCCCAGCTGAGCCGCAGGATCATCAGAGGCTTTTTTTTTTTTTTACTTTTAAAAGCATTTTTTCTCAGAAGAAGTTGTAGAAAAAATGCTTTTAAAAGTAAAAAAAAAAAGCCTCTGATGATCCTGCGGCTCAGCTGGGCATGGTGGAGGGCGGGGGGGGGGGGGGGGTGGGCACAGGGATTTTTGCTACCGGTTCTCCGAACCACCCGCCACCATCACTACCAGATCGGGCAATCCGGTCCAAACCGGGAGCATTTCACCCCGAATCCTGGGTTATATAAACAGAGGCATGGAATCAAGATCACAGGAAGTATTAGTGCCACTTTACAAAACTCTAGTAAGACCACACCTGGAATACTGCAACCAATTTTGGTCACCATACTACAGAAAAGATGTTGAGACTTTGGAAAAGGTTCAGAGAAGAGCAACTAAGATGATCGAAGTCCTGGAGACTAAACCATATGAGGAATGGCTGCAGGTTTTGGGTCTGGCTAGTCCAGGGGTCTGCAACCTTAAACACTCAAAGAGCCATTTGGACCCGTTTCCCACAGAAAACACCAGGAGCCACAAAACCTGGGTGGGTGTGGCCAACTCGACGTCACTCACTTCCACCAGTCACATGACACCCCCCTAGCCACGCCTACCCAGCTGGTCCTTAGGGCAGAGAACCTATTGTTAAAAAACACATGGAACCACAAAACCCTTTTGACATCTCTCTCCCTCCCTCCCTCCTCTCTCCCCCCCCCCCTATCTCTCTGTTTCTGCCCTGACTGCTTCTCCATCCCCCCGCCATCACCCTTAACTTCTCAGGCCAGGCGAGGAGTGACTGGGAAGGGAGGGTAAGGGGCGGGGCCAGCCAGTGGTGGGATCACCCGATAGGGAGCCGCAGCAGAGGGCCCAAAGAGCCGCATGCGGCTCTGGAGCCGCAGGTTGCTGACACCCAGGCTAGTCTAAAGAAAAGTAGAATTAGGGGTGACATGATAGCAGTATTCCAGTATTTAAGGGGCTGCCACAAAGAAGAGGGGGTCAAATTATTCTCCAAAGCACCCAAAGGCCAGACTAGGAACAATGGATAAAAACTAATCAAGGAAAGAAGCAACCTGGAATTAAGGGGAAAGTTCCTAACAGTGAGGACAATTAACCATTGGAATTGCTTGCCTTCAGAAGTTGTAGGTGCTTCATCATTCATTCATTCATTCATTCATTCATTCATTCATTGGTTCGATTTATATGCCGCCCTTTTCCGGAGACTCAGGGCGGCTTACAATGCGTTAAGCAATAGCCTTCATACTTTTGTATATACCTGCTTAGTAGGGCTTTCGGCCCCCACTAAGCGGTGTTCTTTTTTTATACAAAGTCAGTTTATTGCCCCCACAATCCGGGTCCTCATTTTACCTACCTCGAAAGGATGGAAGGCTGAGTCAACCTTGAGCCTGGTGAGATTTGAACTGGCAGTAATTGCAGGCAGCTGGTGTTACTTAACAGTGCTTTAGTCTGCTGCGCCACCAAGGCTCTTGACCATTGCTGGTTTTTAAGAAAATACTGGACGGCCACCTGTCTGAAATAGTATAGATTCTCCTGCTTGAGCACGGGGCTGGACTAGAAGACCTCCTGGGTCCCTTCCAACTTCTATTCTATTCTCAGATGAAGAGCTGGGTCAAAATCACAACCCTGGGTTTATTTCTCTCTTTAAGCCAAGAAAACTAGAACAGAGATTGGTTGTCCATGCTGATGTTGGACCTCACCCAGTATTATTATAGTGCATCTGCTTTAAAAAAGGGAAAGATTTCGACCTCTGGGGGTGTTTAATCTCCCTCCAAAACTTGGCGAGGGCTTCTTCTCCCGTTCTTTTCTCCCTTTCCAAGGAAAGAGAAACGGGGGGCTTTATCAATGCCAGGATGCACCGGTTCTCCCCTTCCCTCCCCTCCCTCCCTTCTTCCCGACACCAGAGAGCAGCTAGAAACCCACCCCCGAAGCAACAAAGGGACTTTCCCCCCACCCCACCCCTCGCCAACCAAGAAACAAAAGAGCGTGAAAGGGGTGGAAGACGAGGGCGCACACCCGGCTGCCAAGCCCGCGCGGCGCGCCAAGAGAGGCGCTTCTTCTCCAAGCCTTACCAAGCTTGCCACGCCGTCTCCTTCCCCGGGAAGGTCCCGCGTCGCTCCTTGGACGCCTTTTCCTCCTCACGACGCTGACCAGCGGGACCCCATCCGCTCAGTCAGGGCGCTTTCTGTCCGCTCGCCCTCCTCCTCCTCCTCCTCCTCTCCTCCTGTTGCCCCGACGGCCAGGCTCCCTCCTCGCCCTGCTGGCAAGTCTGCCCCAAGTCGCCCGGGGTAGGGGAGGTCAGGCGTGAGAGTGGAGAGAAAAGCGAGAGAGAGAGAGAAAAAAGCCGAGCCCCTCCTCCGCCTCCTCCTCTCTTGGCTGCCCCTACAAAGACGCCCCCCGGTTTTTCCTCACCGGATCCCCAAAGCCTTTCCCGCGGCGTGCGCCTCGACGGAGCCCCAGGAGCGAGGCAAAGCGCTTGCCATGCCGGCTTGGCGCGCAGGGTGGGGGGAAAAAAAAAAGAGGCTGCCTCGGGCTGAGAGAGTTGCAAAGTGCTGGCAAAAGTGAGTTGCCGCCGCCCCCTCCCTTCCCTTTCCCTTTCTCTCGCTCCCTCGCTGATGTAGACGATGGAGGGGGAGAGGCGAGGGGAGAGAGACAGAGAGAGAGCCGAGCCCCACCCCGCCACTTCGCTCGCCCTCGCTTCCCCACCACCCCGCTCCTTCTCCTCCTCCTCCTCCTCCATCTCCATCTCCAGGGAGCAGCTAACAAGGGCCCTTCTGTTGCCTTTGTCCGAGGCGCTCGCGGGCCCAAACGCGCCCCTTGCCTTCCCAGCGCTTGCGCGCCGGCGCTGCGCATGGGGAAGGCGGGGTGGGGGCGGTGGAGGGTCCCCCCGGCTGCCTGAAGGGAATCTTTCGGCGGGCCGAGGGGAGAAAACAGGCGCCCCTTTGACGCCGCCCTTGGGGATTCCGCGGGAAGTGCGCGCCGAAGCCCGGGCGGGGGGGGTGTGGAAGAGTTTTGGGATGGGAGAGAGCATCTAGTGGATGGGGAAATTAGCTAGCTGTATAAAAGAAGGCAATGAAGGCAACGAATGAAGGCAAAATATATCTGTCCCAGAATAAGGTGGCAGGATCCCATGTGGGTCAGTCACTGTGAAGAGAGGCTACAGAGAAGTTCCCTGAAGATGGGCTCCAGCACAAGTCCAAAAGCTCAGAAGACAAAAGCTCTGCTCCCAGTGACTGACCCAGGTTGGATCCTGCGTAAAATAAAATTGGAAGGGATCTTGGAGGTCTTCTATCTACCCTATACCATTTCAGGACGAGGTGTCTTATGAATTTCCCCACTCTTGACACCTCAGTAAATAGAATAGAATTAGAGTAGAGTAGAGTAGAGTAGAGTAGAGTAGAGTAGAGTAGAGTAGAGTAGAGTAGAGTAGAATTCTTTATTGGCCAAGTGTAATTGGACACACAGGGAATTTGTCTTTGGTGCATATGCTCTCAGTGTACATAAAAGAAAAGATACGTTCATCAAGAATCATAAGGTACAACACTTAATGATAGTCATAGGGTACAAATAAGCAATCAGGAAACAATATCAATATAAATCTTAAGGAGACAAGCAACAAAGTTACAGTCATGCCGTCATAAGTGGGAGGAGATGGGTGATAGGAACGGTGAGAAGACTAATAGTAATAGTACCGTGTTTCCCCGAAAATAAAACCTTGTCTTATATTTTTCTGAACCCTGAAATAAGCTCTTGACCTTATTGTCATGCGCTCAAAAGCCTGATTGGGCTTATTATCAGGGGATGTCTTATCTGGGGGGAAACAGAGTAATAGTAATGCAGTCTTAGTGAATAGTTTGACAGTGTTGAGGGAATTATTTGTTTAGCAGAGTGATGGCGTTCGGGAAAAAAACTGTTCTTGTGTCTAGTTGCTCTGGTGTGCAGTGCTCTATAGTGTCGTTTTGAGGGTAGGAGTTGAAACAGTTTATGTCCAGGATGCGAGGGGTCTGTAAATATTTTCACAGCCCTCTTTTTGACTCGTGCAGTACACAGGTCCTCAATGGAAGGCAGGTTGGTAGCCATTGGTTTTTCTGCAGTTCTAATTATCCTCTGAAGTCTGTGTCTGTCTTGTTGGGTTGCAGAACCGAACCAGACAGTTATAGAGGTGCAGATGACAGACTCAATAATTCCTCTGTAGAATTGTATCAGAAGCTTTTGTCTGGCTTGCACACCACACAATGTGCCTTTTCATCTGAACACCTGTGCCCGTCCCAGCCAGTATCCTGGAGCACCAGGAAAAGGTGAACATTGGCTACTTGCAGCTGCTTCTTGTCTCTCGGTTTGCAAATGTGTGATCTGCTTTTCTCATCAGATCCCAAGAGCCATGGTCTGGTCTAGGCAGTCCTATCCAAAGGTAACTTAGGGGCAGGGACAGCCTAAATTTTAAAGACATCTAGGGTCAGTTCAGAAGCAGAGATAGGCTAGACTGGAAAGTCACACAAATTTTAGAAGAAACCAATAGGAAGCTCCTTCCACATTGTTGCCAAGAAAATGACATGAATGTGTTGTACAAACTCAACAGGAGTCAAGATTAATTTACAGGAGACTTGGAATTTATTTTATGTTGACTGTCACTATAATTATGTCCTTTATACCTACTTTTTAAAGTAATTATTACCGTAGGTATCTCGTCTATTTCATTTTAATCTCACCACTTCTTTTCTTTATACACCTACATTATGTCTGTCTGTGTTAACCCAAAATAATCCTTTCTGCCTCTGATGGAAGTTGTTTCTGATAATCAAAATTTAGCTCCCAAAATAGTTTCACACTTACTCTAAACTTCAGCCCCTAAATTGAGGAGAGCTTTACCTCCAGCTCCTATTAATGCCCTCCTCAGCTGCTTTGGAAGGGAAACATACACAATTCAACACAATATTATTGCTGTTTCATGGGTGCAATCAAAGCCACAACCGTATTCCTTTTTACTGTCAGTTTTGTAGTGTCATTTGCCACCAGCTGTTGACTCCTCTTTGAACTAAAATTCCATGACATTCTGATAATTTCTATTGATAATGTTTATACTGTAGGTAGTCCTCAGCTCATAATGGTTCATGTAGTGGCCATTCAAACTTAGAATGCACTGAAAAAAGTGACATGATTGCTTTTCACACATATGACCATTGTGGCATCCCCATGGTCACATGATCAAAATTGCAATGCTTGGCAACTGACTCATATTTATGACGGTTGCATTGTTCTGGAGTCATGCAGTCACCTTTTGCAACCTTCTGACAAGCAAAGTCAATGGGGTAGCCAAACTCACCAAACATATGTGTTACTAACTTAACTGCAGTGATTCACTTAACAATTGGCAAGAGGGGCCGTAAAATGGGGAAACATTCAATTAACAATTGTCTCACTTAGCAACAGAAATTTAGCTCAGGATTTAGTGACTGGTCCTCACATTTATGACTGTCGTGGCATCATGCGATCACGATTCAGATGCTTGGAATCCAGGATATATTTATGAGCATTGCAGCATCCCAGGGTCACATGATCACCATTACCGACTTTCCCAGGGGTGTTCCAATAAGCAAAGTCACTTAGGGAAGCTGGATTTGCTTAATGATTATGGCAAAAGCAATCATTGAAGGCAAACTAGGTCCAGGCAGAAGGAGAACATCATGGCTTCAAAACCTAAGGGACTGGTTTGGACAAAACTCAGCAGCACTTTTGCGTGTGGCTGCTGATAAAAAATAGGATCGCCAACAGGATCGCCGACGTCTGATGACAGATATGGCACAAGAAGAAGAAGAAGAAAAGCAAGAAGAGCCTTGGTGGCACAGCAGAGTAAAGTGCTGTTAAGTAGCACCAGCTGCCTGCAATTACTGCAAGTTCAAATCTCACCAGGCTCAAGATTGACTCAGCCTTCCATCCTTTTGAGGTAGGTAAAATGAGGACCCGGATTGTGGGGGCAATAAGATGACTTTGTATAAAAAAGAACACCGCTGGGGGGGGGGGGCGAAAGCCCTACTAAGCAGGTATATACAAAAGTATGAAGGCTATTGCTTAATGCATTGTAAGCCACCCTGAGTCCCCGGAGAAGGGCGGCATATAAATCGAACCAATAAATAAATAAATAAATAAACCATAAAATTGATCACATGATGACACACTTAATGACTGTATCTCTCTGCAACGGATATTCCAGTCCAAATGGTGGTCATAAGTTGGGGACTATCTACAGAGGTATCTTTGCAATGTTAATTTATCAAATTATTCTTGCTTTGTTGTTTGTGCTCTGGAAGGGCTCTGTGAAATTCCAAAAGCAATTAATCTTAGTAGATGAGCTACCCTTTCAAACTACTAATCTTCATTTTAATGCGTATTGTCCCGTTCTTTTCTTCTTTGACAGCTTCTTGCCACTAATCCCAGAAGCTTGAAATAGCATGTTCTACATACACTCCAGATAAAAGTGTTTTATCTGCTGTTAATAGTTGATCTCACTGCTTTAGCAACCAATAAGCAAATGGAACTTTTCTGACTCGCGCCTGTTTCCCTCGGTTCCTGACTTCAGATACAGGAGCCAATCCAGCTCCAATGCAGCTATTTTACTCTGGGGTGACTTTTAAATGATCGCCCCTGGTTACTCTCTCTGTGATTTATTTTTCTTTTAAATCTAGGCACTTGGTTAAAGACAGCGTGTAACAGCATGCCTCTGTGGATTGCATGCAACCGGAATGAACATGGGTGTAAATGAGGCAGTCTTGTCAGGTCACACAAAGAAAGAATTTTGTGTATTGAATGATTTGTGGCTAGCTGTGGCTTTTTCTGCTGCAGATACTGCTGGTAAATGAAGCATCACCTTTTGTGTGGTTTAACTATTTTCTGAACCGGACAGAGGCAGATACAGAGTACTTGAAATTTGAGGCCAAAGACAAAATGGCACCTCTTATTGTATATGCAGAAGTAGACCGGGCTAATTAAATATTAGTTCCAGCCCAATAAAGAAACAGATCTCCTACCATACTGAAGAGAGCGTCCAATTTAGAAATCCTGGGAAAATCAGATGGCACAAAATCAGTTCTCTATTCTTAATATCTGCCATTCGTAGCTAACGCCCAAAGATAAGAAAAAAAGTGTTTCCCAATTTCTTATAGGAGCATCAGTTGAACATATGCAAGCACAAGTGAGAAAATGAGTAGATATCTAGATTTTGGCATATTAAATATGATGTACATCCATGTATAAACTAATATAAATACACATTTACGGCTATACAAATAACAAACCTGTTTAGATTACCGAGGGTGGAGATTTTAAAAGTTTGTATGTCATCAAATGAGGTATGAAGGTATAAGGCATAAATGAAAATGATAATATTTCTCCTCTCAGGAACCTCTATCATCCCTGACATGTCACTGTCTCTGGGTGCCCCGTTTTGGAAAAATAAAAACTTGCCATCTATTAAATATTAAGAGAACAGGAAATACTTAAATGATTCGCTCTTGGATCCTTTTTTTTTTTTTTTTTCGCAATCGCTGATCTTGATTACTGAAAATTAACTACGATTTTTTTTTATGTGATGAAATGAAAGGGGGGGAGAAAAAGTATGGGGGGAAGAAATGTATTGAGGAGGTGGGTCC